CTATGGGCGTGCTGCTGCACGGTGATGCCGCTTTTGCTGGCCAGGGTGTCGTGTACGAGACCATGGGTTTCCACTCCCTGCCTGCTTACTCCACTGGCGGTACCATTCACATCATCGTGAACAACCAGATTGGTTTCACTACCGATCCTCGTTATTCCCGTTCCACCCCCTACTGCTCGGACATCGCCAAGTCGATTGACGCCCCTGTCTTCCACGTCAACGGTGATGATGTTGAGGCCGTGAACTATGTCTGCCAGGTTGCCGCAGACTGGCGTGCGGAGTTCAAGAGCGATGTCGTCATTGACATTGTCTGCTACCGTAAGCAGGGCCACAACGAGACCGATCAGCCCTCTTTCACCCAGCCCTTGATGTACAAGCGTATTGCCGCTCAGAAGAACCAGCTTGACAAGTATGTCGAGAAGTTGATCACCGAGGGTACCTTCACTAAGGAGGATATCGACGAGCACAAGAAGTGGGTCTGGGGAATGCTTAACGATAGCTTCGACCGTAGCAAGGACTACCAGCCTACTGGCAAGGAATGGTTGACCTCCGCATGGAACGGATTCAAGACCCCCAAGGAGCTGGCCACCGAGGTCCTGCCTCACCTCCCCACTGGTGTTGAGGTTCCTCTTCTGAAGCACGTTGCTGACAAGATTAGCGGTGCTCCGGAAGGCTTTACTCTGCATCGTAACCTCAAGCGTATTTTGGCCAACCGCAAGAAGACCGTGGATGAGGGCAAGAACATCGACTGGGCCACTGCCGAGGCTCTTGCTTTCGGCTCCCTCGTCTCGGAAGGCTACCATGTCCGTGTCTCCGGTCAGGATGTCGAGCGTGGTACTTTCTCCCAGCGCCATGCTGTTGTTCATGACCAGGAGAACGAGAACACCTATACCGGTCTGCAGCACATCTCCGAGGATCAGGGTAGCTTCGTCATCTCTAACTCTTCTCTGAGCGAATTCGGAGCCCTTGGGTTCGAATACGGTTACTCCCTGACCTCCCCTAACGCCCTCGTGATGTGGGAAGCGCAGTTTGGTGACTTTGCCAACAACGCTCAGTGCATTATTGACCAGTTCATTGCCTCGGGAGAATCCAAGTGGCTGCAACGCTCCGGTCTTGTTGTCTCCTTGCCCCACGGTTACGATGGCCAGGGCCCAGAGCACTCCTCCGGTAGAATGGAGCGCTGGTTGCAGCTCTGTAACGAGGAACCTCGTATCTTCCCCTCCCAGGACAAGCTTGACCGCCAGCACCAAGACTGCAACATGCAGATCGCGTACATGACCGAGCCTTCCAACCTGTTCCACATCCTGCGTCGTCAGATCCACCGCCAGTTCCGCAAGCGTATGTAACTTCCCTCTATTTTACATGGACTATACTAACTTTCATTCTCAGCTCTTGTGATTTTCTTCTCGAAGGCACTCCTGCGTCATCCCATTGCCCGCTCTAACCTTGAGGACTTCACTGGCGACTCTCACTTCCAGTGTATCATCCCTGACGCTGCTCACGGCTCTTCCATCGATGAGCCTGAGAAGATTGAGCGTGTCATCCTGTGTTCCGGACAAGTTTACGCTTCTCTGTTGAAACACCGTGAGGCGAATGGCATCCGTAACACTGCCATCACTCGTATCGAGCAGCTCCACCCCTTCCCTTGGGCACAGCTCAAGGAGAACCTTGACAGCTACCCCAACGCCCGCAACATTGTCTGGGCCCAGGAAGAGCCTTTGAATGCAGGTGCTTGGAGCTACACCCAGCCTCGCATTGAGACTCTGCTGAACGAGACGGAGCACCACAACCGTCGCCACGTTCTCTACGCTGGTCGTTCCCCCAGTGCATCCGTTGCCACTGGTCTCAAGAGTGTCCATCTTAAGGAAGAGCAGGAATTCCTTGAAGAGGCCTTCTCCGTTCACCAGGAGCGGTTGAAGGGCGAGTAAGCTTGTGGATGGTTTAGAGCAAGGGATATAATAGCCTGTACTAGGTGCCTTGTCTTCAGAGAAATGAGGCAGCGAACACTCGCTTTAGTCTCCTTTGTACGATTTCATTTGTTGACAACGTCCTACTAGTAATCTACAGTCGTGTTGTGTTGGAACATTAGATTTCTGAATACTGACACACGATACATGGTCTGGCCTGTTTATACCTAGCAAATGTCTTTTGTGTGTGTGCGTGTAAATTAAAGATTTGATATACAATTTACTTTTTCTTTCCTGCAAGTGTTGATTCGCATCACTGGTGGTAAACGAAGTCTATGAAATGATCGTCCAAGTTAGGGTTGTTATGATGACGTCAGAGCATAACTACATAGGGGATGGTTAATCAGCCGTGTTTGGAGCCTTAGGTCATCCACAGGCACCAATCACCTGACGCCGACCCAAAGGGGAAAGCGATTCTGCCGTTCTCCGCACTTGGAGGCCTTCGTCGCTTCGGTCCCTCACCTGTCCATGCCCCAGCGATCGTGTTCCTGGCGGGTCATCATCTGTGATTGCCTCTTTCCTGATTGATTTGGGTTCTTGGTGCTGTGTCCCTTACACGCCGTCACAATGTCTTCCGCCGTCTCATCGTCGGCCGTCAACTCCCGGCAGTCGGTGCGCCAGACACGGACAAATCCATCAAGAACTTCCAAGACCCTTGGGCGGTCCTCCTTTGCATATGGCCATGGCTCCTTTACTGACACACCTCCTACTCCGCCTGTTGCCCATGGGTTTTACCCCGCTCTCACACATTTCACTGACGCCATCACGGCCCTCCCGCGAGAGTTTCGCCGTCACAATTCCCTGTTGAAAGAGGTCGATGCTAAAGCGTGGGCTCTTGAGGATAACCTCCAGCAGCTACTTAAGGCCTCATCAGAGCTACAAGCAGCTCCCCCTCTGACACAAGCGCCTGACAATGCTGGTGTGTCGCAAGAACATCTGGCTACGGTAAGCCCATACAAGAGTTTTCGCGGGCGGTAGATACACTCAGAAACTGTATACTAAGATATGTCCCTAATTTACAGGGTGCTTCGCAAGCGGTCGAGCCTCAGGAACACTCGAACCGGCATTACCTGCTCGGTCGAGTACGGCAGACCCTTCAAGACCTAATGATGACCGCAGACGAGAAGAACCATGTTATTTCGAATGCGAACGATGAACTAGATCGTCAGCTCCTTCGCCTCGATACCATTTTCCCTTTCATCGCAGGCGAGATCAGTGACGAGGCACGCTTGGGTAGCCTCACACACTGGGCGTATTCAAATAGGAATGCTGTCAAGACCACCACCAACGAGCGCCCTCGTCGCGAAGCTGCCTCCAACAAGGATCTGGCCCACGCCCTTCACGAAGCGGAAGCTGCTTCTAGGAGTGAAGCGAGACGTGAGGCTGTTCTGGCACGTAAGCAGCGTCGGACGCATGCCGATTCTGACTTTGATGATGCGCGCGCGGGCGGCCGTAAGGGACAATCAGGCAAGGCACGAGGCGCTGCTGCGAATGATGCCTCTGCAGTTGGTCATGGTCAAGCTGGTGCATCAGGCCAGACGAAGCGACGCAAAGTCGAGCGGCCGCCAACCGTGGATACTGGGGCTGCAATGGAACGGTCTGCAAGTGGCGCTGGTGCTTCTGGTCGTGCTGGGTCCAAGGACGCCGCAGATGCCACCAAGAAAAGGTCTCGGGCACCTAATGCGAACGCGGGTGGTGCACGAAAGAGGTATGCCCTGTATTTCCTTGTTCGGTGCTTTCCTGAGCTTCCAATGGGCTGACTGAATCATTTAGGAACAACACTGCTGCGTCTGCTGCAAATTCTCCTGTTCTAGCACCATCCCCTCTGGTTGGGGCAGCCGCCATCCCGCGGAGCGCAGCAAGCCCTGGGCCTAATGCGGCAACCCGACCGCAGTCTTCTCGCGCTCAACAGAACTCTACCCAAACGGCGAATGGACGCCAAAGACCATCATCTTCAGCGTCCAACCGCGTGGCTAATAATAGTATGTTCGCTGGACACCTATTTCATTATCCTTTGATTTCAACATGTCTGAATCTCATCATACTAACATTTGCGGTGCAGATAAAACCAGTGAAGCCAGAACAACACCCAAGGATACACCGAAGATGGAGACAGTCGCCATGGCGAGCCAGGACGCGCATCGGGAAATGGAAATTGAGACTACAGAAGCAGCTTCATCCAAGGTATCAGCGCCCATCAGTACAAAACGTGAAGACACGGATGGAAAGCCCGCCGAGTCAATTGAGCCTGGTGATATCCCAGCTCCTCCAGCGCCCAACCCACCAGCGCCGAAGGGTAGATCGTCCAAGACGTCGACTCCCGTCCTGGCGACATTCTCCGAGCCCGCGCCGCGGGTCCGACCAACACGGAGTACGGACACTGCACCGGCCAAACGATCGCACAAGAAGAATGGCAGTGTGCCAGTCGTGCAGCAACAGAGGGCGGTTTCAGAAGAGGAAGAATCCTACCATGAGGGTGACGACGAAGACGAAGAGGGAGAGCCGCGATACTGTTACTGTAATGAAATCAGTTTTGGTGAGATGGTGGCATGCGACAACGACGCCTGTCCCCGCGAATGGTTCCACTTGTCTTGTGTGGGGTTGACGAAACCGCCTGGGAAGAATGGTGAGTGGCTTGCACCTTTATTCGCACCTACGACGAGCTTTGCTAACCGATGCAGTCAAATGGTATTGTAACGAGTGCAAGGATAATATGCGACGAAGTCGAAGTGGCCGGTAACCTAAAAAAGCATTACAGCATATCATGCTCACGGCGTTCGGATGAAGTGTTTTTGTACAGGCGTATGAGTACATAAAAGGGATATATAGAATGGCATTGAAGCAAAACTTGGTAGTTTCAACATCAACCAACCCTCGTTAAGAACCAAATCAACCTCAAAACACTCATTATGTTCTGCATGTCTCAAACCCTTCTCCCTTGTCTCAACCCAACCCCCGAACCCTGTCCCGCTGAAGAACCACTCGCTTCGGCCACCGCAGCAGCAGCAGCAGCCTCGCCATCCAACCTCCTCCTCAAATCTTCATACCTCTCCTCCCCACCCGAGGCCCAACCGTCCTCCTCGTCCTCTCCTTCTCACCCACAACCCAAGCCGGTACCCTCCACCGCGCACCCACACCAGGCAACATCTCCATGCGCCACGCCAACCCCACAAACCACCCAACAACAGCCGGCAACAGCGCCCCGGGAAACTGCGACAGCGCCAACTGCGCCGCGACCAGATACGTCGTCGACTTATCCGAGAAAAGCAAGGTCAGGGACTTCCCCGCCGACTGCGCCGTTGCGTCGTCATCCGCGGGCTTGGAGCTCGACGTCGCGATGCGGTAGCGGAACGTATGCGGGATGGAGAGGTGGTATTGTGCCAGCAAGGCGAAGATGGTCGCCGTTGGTCCAGAGGGCAGGTAATTTAGTTTTGTGAGCGAGAGCGGACGCAGGAGGATCGTCAGGAGGAGGGGTGGGAGGAGGGTTGTGTAGGGGAAGGTTGTTAAGAGGAAGGTCTGGTTATTCTTCATTAGCCTTTTTTTTTTTTTAGTTCACCATCTTTTGCCTTCCTTCATATATAACTTCCTCAAAACTATTGAATAGTCTGTAAATGAAAGACAGGGATAAGAAAAGAAAATAACATAACATACCGCCACCTTCCTCGCTCCCCACGCGCGCTCAATCACCCGTAACTGGTACACCAGCATGGCGGCGAACAGCGCCTCCGTGGAATTGGTGAACCCCGCGACTTGCCATAGCAGGGCGCGCCAGAATTGGCCGTAGGGCCAGAAATGCGGGGAGACGTGGATCGGGGCCAGGTGCTTGATGTCGAGGATGGAGAGGGCGATGGAGGAGGCGAGGGTGTAGATTAGGAGGGTTTTCGTTAGGGGTGTGTTTGTTAGCCCGGAGGTGTGCATTTTTCTTTTTGCTCTGGTGTCTTTTTTACTTGTTTTCTTGGGGTTGGGTTGGGGTTCGGTGGTTGAGAGGTTGACAGGTGGAGGTTTTCTTGTTGGATTTCGTGAGGGGCGTTATTGGGGTGTTTGTTGCATTGAGGGGTTAGAGCCCCTCTTGGATCGTGGGAGGGGGGTTGTTGGTGTTGGTGTTGGTGTTGAATCGGGGGATTGGAGATAGAGGAGTTGGAGAGGATGGTGTGATGCGTGAACACGTTGCGTTGAGCTCGAGGCCGGGCCGAGGCTGCGGGTTCTTGTGGGGTTGCTCGGCATGCCGAGTGCAACTCTAATTGATGTATAGTCAATAGTGTATGATGCGCTAGTTTAACTCTCCCCTTTACACTAGTGGTTTCTGCTGCAATGGCAGTAGTATCACTTTGAGTGTCAAATACTTGGTGTGTGGTTTGAATTACTGCAAAGATACTAGTTGTTCATCTAAGGGTTCTATTATACATCATTGCGCGGATGCTTCCTTCATCTCTTCTGCCAACGCTGCCTTATACTTCGCTTGCGCTGTTTCTAGTGCTTGAATAGTGGGCCCCATCAATTGGTTGACCGCTTTTTCACCACCCTGTATGCTCGATAGATTGAGTCGAGGTTTTTTGCCTGTCGCCTCCATGACCTCTCGCGCATGACGCTTCCGCCGGTCTACCTCCACCTGTCGCTCTGCCTCGGCATCCTGTGCTACTGCCTTGATTCGCTCCATGGCCCGACCCAACGAGTCGAATAAGGATGATACTTCTGCCGCACGATCAGGGTTGCCTGACAGGAATGCCTGCCAAAACTGGTGTAGGAACTCCGTTGTAGTAGCATGTGTCAAAGTCAAGCGGTCGTAGAGGCTACTCGACAGACCGTATGTGCTAGTAGTGGAGGACACATCCGTCTGGGCTCGACGATCTCGAATCGCAGCGATTATCTGAGCTGAAGACTTCTGAAGACTGGCTCTAGACCCTGGCTGTTGGCTGTCTGCCTTCTCGTCGTCAAGTTCTTCCGGCTCAACAAGCCTGCCCAGTGGCGCAGTACCATCATCAGGTAAATTCTGTTCAATTTCCCTGCGCAGGTCGCTAAGAATCTTTTCTGGATCTTGTTGGGCAAACAGCCTGTTTTGTTCGTCTTCGGAGTCCTTGATTTGGGAGGAGAAAAACCGGCTTTGGTCTCGAATATTTAATAGGACGCGGTCTGCCTCCTCATCACCGCGCAAATCGCGTAGTTGTATTTCGTTATATGTATCCTCATCCATACCGACTGGCGCATGCGGATCACCATCAGCCGGTGCGACATTGGCCATGATCTTCTCACTTAGACTGTTCAGGGTTCGGATAATGGGCACCTTGTCTGGTGCGGACCATCTCATATCGAGATCAGGTCGATTTCCCCGGCGCTGACTGTTATTCACCTCATTTCCCTCCAGGTTAAGAAAATGCGGAACGTGAGCTTCCCGTGGGAAATTACCATGCTCGTCCGCCTGCAGGTATTTGTCCAGAATGGCATCGGTGGCGTCAGTCTCCGAAAGCCGCTCTCCTCGCAGCTTCTTGAATAGTCGACTCTGGAAGAACCGGGACCAAAACTGTGCCTCGCTCAACTTGGGTACGTTCTCATCATACACACGCCTCACAAGAGGGTGCTGGTTGAAAATCAACTGGATCTGCTCCTTGCTGATATTTAACTTGGTCACATTATCCTCCACGCGCGGCTTCAGCGTCGATAGCACATTGTAAGAACCCCTCGTCTGCGACCGTTCAATGGCATGGGCGCGCAAAAGATGAATACGGTTCGACCAAAACTGCGACATGAATTGACCCGCGGTCAAGGTATCCGGCTTGGTATGCAGCGATTCCATGAACATGCGCTGCAGGTTCGGATCCGACTTCAGTAATGACTGTTGTAGCTCCACATCTCCTTTTAGCCATTTGTCGTCATCCCAGCTGCTCTTGGCCGAGACGGCACTGGCAACCGCCATGGCCGTTGACATACCTTCGCCCGCGCCAGGGGCAGGAGACGGTGTTGGCGCAGCTTGAGCCGTTTTTGCTGCTTGAATGGACGCGCTGAGTGCATCTTTAATGGCGTCCGCTTCCGCGCGCGCGTTGGCTCCAGCAGTAAAGTTGAAGACGTACTGTTCGGGGGAATTCTCTGGCGTGTTTGGGGGAAGGACAAAAATCTTCAGCATGACTTTGGGGTTACTTGCCGGAGTCTGTTGTAGATCTTTCCATGGTCGGTCAGTAAAAGTCCCGCCTCATCTTAAGAAGAAGCTTCCGGTGGCCAAGGTTGCCTCCGATTGTCAAATATTTTCGACCAGGTAGGGTGAGAGGGTACGCACTCGTGATCTGAGCAACAGACAGCGTGATCGTTCCTGTCGCACCACCAGCCGCCGGGATCCAAGAGACCGACTGGCGATCCTGGGACATGGTCAGGGTGCCATCTTTCTTCTTGTATGCCGCCGACCCGCTCGGAGGTGCCATCGTCGTCGAACTCGACAGCGTCCACTGTCCAGGGCGGCGTATCGGAATCCACCCATCGGGAGGAAGAAGTCCCAACGGAGAATCCGAGAGTGGAAGGTCAAAAGGCCTTCTAAACGGGGGACCACTTTGTGGGAGAGGTTAAAAAAAATAGAGGTACGACGGTCTCACGGAGAAATTGAAGCTCCGCAACAAGTTGAGCTTTGAGCATGACCGCATCGACACGTGACCCATCGTCCGCCTTTAGCCCTAAGTTCCCCCATTCAGGATGCATTACGCTCAGGTAGAAAGATTACTTTTCACAGGTCCAGCAGTATACTGCTAATTATAATCTGAATGCATTATGAACCGACACGGTCTGAGTACAGTAATATCAGAAACAGCCATCCTTCGCCTTGCAAAACCAAAACGAATGAGCAAAACTCGTAATAACCCAATGCAACCAGAAGAATGGGGATATCGCAAACACCAGAAAATACGCAAAGACAAGACCACACTCAGACAAATCCTAACGCTCAAAAGAACATCGCCTCGCTATGCAGACAACTCAAGCAAAAGCTAATCATGAGGCATGACATCGAATCCACCGACTTTTGATCGCTTATGCTTCCCTGTACAATTTGCCCGGATATAGCCAAACAAGAAGCGCCCATGATAGGAGAGGAAATAGATGAACAAAGCGCGCCACCGACAAAGCGAAAATTGTAACAAAGTAGGGTATTATCATTCATCCCATGGAAGATTTGGACAGCCAGAAACGCAAATTTCCTGTCCTTTAACATGCCCTCATTTCTTGAACATGTAGTGCCCATAGATGCCGCCGACCTCCCCGACGGCAACGGGGATCTTTCTTGCTCCCCACCATCTGGCACCCATCTTCCAGGAGCGAGAGCCGTCGTCGGGTACTTGAAGGGGCATCGAAGCCGGATCACGGACGTACCATCCCCGTCGACCGAGCTCACGAACGGTCCAGCCGAGGGAAGTTCGGGCATTCTTGGTTCTCTCCCGCAAAGGAGCGATCAGCTTCTCGTGGAACTCGATGACCTGCAGCGGATAGCTTTGCTGCGAAAGCAGCAGGCACGAACTGGGGTTAAAGACTGTTCCCAGCGACAACTGAGGCGCTTTGGTGAGGTCCAGATAGCAAAGCGTCGGCGGGACCCATTCCTCTTCTTTCACTTCCGCCGATCCATCCACGTCCATGGTAGCCCGGGGTGGTGGTTTAAAGAAAAGATTGATGTCCTGAGCGGACAGCTCGGCCGAACCGAGTCCGAGCTCTTCCAGATGCTTGGTCAAGGGGATCAGCGCTTGCGCGTGGGCCGAGTTGACCTTCGCGCCTCCAATGTTGAGGGAGCGAAGCGTGGAGGGTAACTGGGGAAGTAGCGCATGGACATCGTCTTCTTCCAGAAGTCGGTTCCGCGTCGGGTCGGTCATCAGGTTCAAGGAAACCAGCGAGTCGCACACAGCCGGATGAGTGGTCAAGAACTGCACCACCCTCGATCCCTGCAGACGAGTACAGCGAGACAGGCTCAGGTGGGTGATTCTCGCCGTTTTCGGGATCGAGAACAGGGCCGCCTCACTAATCTGTGTGTGAGTAACATCCAGGTGCGTCAGGTTCACCAAGCGGGGCAAAAGGGCCTCAAAAACCGACGCCGGGAGACTGCTGCACTCGTGCAGCGAGACCCTTTTCAGGTTTGGCATCGCCATTGGCAAACCAGGCCCCGTCATCAATGCTTCCTGAAAAACCGCCGAGAAGGACTGGGTTGAGCAGCCACAGAAATCGACGGCGAAGAGGTTTGGAAGGCCGAAGAGCAGCTTCTGCACCACTTCCACACTGAGGTCACCCTCCACATGCTCCTGCAACAAGCACTCCTTCAGGTTCGGCAACAGGTCCAGACACTTCAGCAGCGTCTTCGAGGTCAGGTTTTGGATTTCGGCGTTCATCTGCTTGGTGCGTCCCAAACCTACCGAAGTGAAGTGGGAGAAGTCGAGGCGACGAACCAACGTGCCCAACGCGGGATAATGAGACATGTGGTTGAGCGCCTTGGAAAAGATGACGGAGTGCGGGAAGGTCATGTTCCTGTACAACACCGCCAGGGTGGCTGCGTGCAACGTCCGGGAGGCCAACAGGCACGAGATCAGGTCCACGTTTCGTGGCGTGTACCCGTTGGGAGGTACGTCCAACGCCAAGCATGATATGATTTGGTCTAGTAGCGGTTCATTAGCAGACCGGTATCACGGGCACGGCAGGATGGAGTCCGCACTTACCGAGCACTTCGGAGGGAAGGGTCTCAAGACGAGACAAGCCAGCGGCCGGTTTCGGCTGTTCCACCTGCAAGGTCTTAGTAGGTGGCGGATTTTTGACAGGCGGCGGAGAAGTTTCCCAGGCCCAGCCGCGGGCATGCATATTACCGAGAGCCCGCAAATCGCTGTAGCTCCTACTGAGACTCTTTCCACCTAGTCTGATCTGCTTCCAGCCTAGAAAGCCGCCACAGGGGCAGCAAAAGTCGGGGGTTTGCTGCATTTCGACCGGAGTCTGTTTCGGCTGTTCTGGGGAAGGCTGGT